GGCATGGAAGTTGAGTGGGCGTGACAAAGACTATACCACCTGCAAAGGTGGAAATATTTACACTCTGACCATTTGCAGAAACTGTTTGAAGTCCCCTGTCTTAGGTGGTAGATTAATGAAGGATGGGCACCCCAGAGGGCAGCAGTTCTCAACCTGTGGGTTGCGACCCCTTTGTAACAATGAAAATACATCCTGCATATCAGATATTTACATTACGATTCAAAACAGTAGCAAAATTACAGTTATGAAATAGCAATGAAAATAATTCTATGGTTGGGGGTCACCACAACACGAAGAACTGTATTAAAGGGTTGTGGCATTGGGAAGGTTGAGAATCACTTAGGGCAAAGTCCAAAGTCGCTTGTACCACCCATGCCAGTCTCTCAAGTCCTCCTCCCTCACACGCTGTCAGCCCCCTGGCCCTCCCTCTCTAGTCGTTCTGTGTCTCCTGTCCTCGCCCAGTCCCAGCCTGCCTGGACTCCTCACCAGGCCCATCCAGGGACCCGGCAGGAAAGCTCGGGCTGCTTGTCTCCCCAGCAGGTCTTGGCAGGAGTGGACACGCCCCGTCTGCCCTGGGCAGCTGGCAGAGAGGGGACCCAGTGCCTAGCAAAGTGAACTTCTCCCTTCACAGCTTTTGCAGAAATGCACAGAGAGACATCTTAGCTGGCAGAAAGTGAGGGAGACCTCACAGGAGGAGGCATCCTCATCACAGCGACAACACCACAGGCCACAGCCCACGTGCTGGCCAAGGAGTGCTCTGCAGAGGTGACCGAGCATGGCACCAGGGCACCTCATCACCTGGCACTCATCCCTACCCAGGTCTTAGTTCAGCCTGTTACTGTCAAACAAGAAATAACAGACTCGCTTACATGTAAAAAAAAAAAAAAAAAGGTCAAACAGACAGGTTCTGGCTGCTAGGAAACTGTTGCAACATTGCTCAGCCAGCTCCTGATGACATTTTCTCCTTGCCTCTCTTTCAATTTCTGAGTTTCTATCTCTTGTCACATGTTCTGTCTTATGTAATCTGTGATTTGTTGCATTTATTTTTCATCTAGCAGTAGACATTATACACAAGTGCTGTCCAGTAGAACTTCCTGCAACAATGGAAATGGTCCACACTGCCACCCAGTGCAGTGGCCACCCGTGGCTGGTGAGTACTTAAAATGCACTAGGGCAACCAAGGAGCTGAACTTCTGATTTTATTTACCTTAATTCATGAAAATCTAAAGAGCCAGATGGGGCAAGAAGCTACCAAGTTGGAGAGCTCAGGACACACTGATCACTAAATAGCATTTTTCTCAGGAACTCCTGTAAGTCATGGAGTGGTCTCAGTGAGACAGGAAATAGTTGAAGAAACCAAATCGGATTTTGAGCCATGTGGAAGCTACTGACTGAGAAAGCCCAAGAAAAAGAGGATTGCTTCAGCGGCCGGCCAGACGAGCCCGAGGCGTAGACCTTCAGAAGGCTGGGCCCCAAACTGAAAGGCAGCGTTCCCAGGCTCAGAACGGAAGGGAAGCAGCCGCCGCCACTGCGGACCCAGAGCCAGGCTCATCCTCCATGCCTAGGCACGAGAGGTCAGGCCCCGGTCCCTGCCAATGCCTCCTATTCATGACCTGGTGCCAGTTACCCTACTGAGTCCTGCCCCCCCAGCACTCCCATGCTACCCGGGCAGATGAGGACAGAAAGACCATCCTGAGGGCTCTGTTCCTGGGAGCTGGCTCCATAGTTTCCAGAATTTCCCTGCTTTGTAACTTAGCTACACTCTGGGAACTGGGCACTGTAAGCTGGAAAGAAATTTCTGAAAATAACTTCAAGTATTCTTCTTTGAGGCAGCAGTGGCCCTGGCTGCCTCAACCTGTTTCCAGAGGCTCTGAGTCTTACCCCCGGAGGCTGGGGCTGCAGGACCTCCGCCACCTCCTCCTCGCTCAGACCCAGCTGCAGCCAGATGGGGTGGGTGTGCAGGAGCCGGTCCAGGACGCTGAGCCTGTTGGAGAGGCTATCATAGCCAGAGTCCCGGGGACAGATCTTCACGTCCTCTTCCTCAGAACAGCCGCTGTCGTGTCTGACCATGCTGGGAGACAGAGGATGACGGGAAGAGTTAGATGCCGCAGCACAATGCCCCCAGTGATGAGACCACCCTTGCCAACTCCCAGGCCAGGCCCATCCCAGCACATGCACCGTTCTGCAGCCCCACCCTGCTCGTCCTCCCCTCCAGACTGGGCGCTTTCTGAGGGTGGACACCATGTTGTATTTTTCACTCTATAAATCTGACCTTCTGTTTCTAATCCCATTTCCAGGAAGGTTCGACATATACTAAATACTGTTTAGTTCAGACTCTATCTTCTGGCATAAAACATTTGAAACTTTGAGAAGAGAACCCTAAATGCTAAATTCCATATACGGTAACTGTGAGTTCTCAGGCTCGAAAGTGCATGTCATAAGCATGAACATGGCCCTGATCCTCAGGCAAAAGCTATGCACACACCCTCACTTGGTACCTTGATTCCTTCTTACAAAGCTACCAACATTATTTATAAGGAAAGCTCATGGGGGAGTGGTGCTGCGCTACTGTGAAATCACATCGGCATTATTCATAACCGTCCTGGATGAATAAAACGTGGCTACTCCGACAGTGGAATATTACTCAGCTATGGGAAGGAGCAAAGCACTGACCCACCACCCTGTGCAAAGACCAGGAAAACAGTAGGCTCTGAGAACGCATATGCACACAGGCCGCATATGGAGGGATTTCATTCCACAAAATGTCCAGAATAGACAAATCCATAGAAACAGAAGTGGATCAGTGGTTACCAGAGATGGGAATGATCTCAGACAGCCACCAGGTTTCTTTTGGGGTGATGGGAATATTATGGTGTCAGAAGTGGAGATGATCACACAAATTTATGAATATACTTAAAAACCTCGTGTGCTTTAAAAGGGTGAACTTTATGCCATGTGAGTTCCATCCTAATAAATAAACCAAATTGACCTCCACTAGTGTCAATACTGAGTCTGCTCATGCGTGTTAAACCCCCAACTTACAAATGAGAAGACTGAAGCGATTGGTCTGAGTTATAACAGCCATGAGACGGCCGAGCTGGAAATCAAGAAGTGGTCTGCATTCATCCAACTCAGTGGGTAACAAGTCAGATCAGAACAGGGGACAGTTTGCATCTAGGCAGTGGCTACTGTAGGCCAATACATTGTCTTATGAGGCAGTGTCTCACTCTGTTGCCCCAGCTAGAGTAGGGTAGCTCACTGAAACCTCAAACTCCTGGGCTCAAGCGATCCTCCTGCCTCAGCCCCTCAGAGTGCAGAGGCTCAGTCCTGTTAAGTATTGTTCTCAGGGTCAGGTCAGGGCAGAAGGAGAGGGGGGGAAATTTCCACCCAAGGGTGCTTAGTTCTGGTTGCTCTCCCTCCACCAATCAGAACAGACATCTCAGGAACAAGTCACAGCGCAGGTCCTGGGGCAGCCGGGGGGCATCAGACCAGACCCCTTGTGCAGCTTGTGGTGCACAGGGCCTTCAAACCTCCAAACCCAAATAAACCCAAGAGCGTGGCTTTAGATAAAGTCTTCAGCACTGGGAAGGATGGATGAAGTCGACCTGAATGTGAGGGTGGGGAAATTTTAAAAAGAAGAGTGCTATTTCCATGCGGACAGTTGCACTCTTAAGAGGTGGGTTTGAGGGCGGCGCCTGTGGCTCAGTGAGTAGGGCACTGGTCCCATATACTGAGGGTGGGAGGTTCAAGCCCGGCCCCGGCTGAACTGCAACCAAAAAATAGCCAGGTGTTGTGGCATAGTCCCAGCTACTCTGGAGGCTGAGGCAAGAGAATCATTTAAGCCTAGGAGTTGGAGGTTGCTGTGAGCTGGGGACGCCACAACACTCTACCAAGGACAACAACAAAGTGAGACTCTGTCTCTTAAAAAAAAAAAAAAAAAGAAAGAAAGAGGTGGGTTTGAATATAGAAGAAGCCGATCTTTCTGGGGTGTCACAATACAGCAATGCCCGTGGTGACAGCAGGTGGGCCGGCCAGAGACACCGTGTGGTAATAACTTTTCCTCCTCACATCCTGACTTTCTCGGAATTCTCATTCTTCTGCTCAAAATTCACCTTTGATTTCCTCTCCAATATGTGAAAGTTTTCCTTTGCTTCTGCTGCAGGTTTCCAGTTAGGAGTCTCTGTGCCAGAAAAGAACAGTCCCTCCTTCTGCAAATGCCATTCCAGGGCCTCTGGGTATTTGCAAGTGAATATTTGCAGTTAAAAGAACACACTCTTCAAAGGAAGCTGGAGCTAAAATTCCTTTCACATAAGGTAAGGGAGCCAGGTTTACACCTGCAATTCTCGGCCCTGGCTGCCTGTAAAAGTCACCAGGGGACCTCAAAAAAATCTCAATAGCCAGACTGCACCTCAGATCAAATAAATGAGACACTTTGGTGTGGAATATGGGAATCTGAATTTTTTAAGTCCCCAGGGAGATCTCAAGGCAAAGTCAAGTTTATAGGCACTGCTCTGTAGCAGCACTTGAACCCCGGGGTTTGTTAAGCTGCAGATTCCTGGTTGTAGCCTCAGAGACTTTGATTCTGCAGTCTGGGGTGATCCAGAGAGGCTGCCTTTCTTACTAGCTCTGGGTGACGTTGCTCCTGCCAGCCACATCTTGAGGAGCACGGAGCGCTTCCATGAAGTCTAAGAGCAAAACGCACACACTGACAGATCTAGTTAGGTGTTTTGTTTTACCAGGAGGCTGGGGGAGGGTAATGGGTAGCAGGCCACTGATCCAACTCTTAGAGCCTAAATAGAGAAACAGTTCATCCCTCCAATCTCAGTCAGGTTGGCCGTGTTTTGCCAAGACCAGATTCGACAGTGTCTGCCTGATGCTCCTGGGTGCCGAGAGTAAACCGCTGACACCTCTTCCTTCCCTAGAAGGGCACACCCTGTCTCTGCTCAGTTGTTACAACAAGCTAAAAAGCCTTTGTTCTGTGAAGTAATCTCAACCCAAAGAGCCAGGGCCCAGTCAGCAAGACGGTGAATAAGATTCACGGGGTCTTATAAAGGAGCAACCCTAAATTGGACCTTGTCTTTGCAGATGACTAAGCTAACGCTGAGTCAGCCAGTCACTGGAGGTTTATAGTGTATTATTACAGGACAAATTGGCTTTTATCAGCCCCAACCTTCATGGGGCTGATACTAACAAATGAGAAGCTGAACATGCAGGGGATGCTGGTGCTCCACCTAGACCCCCAGCTGGAATAGCCGCTGTGAGTGTTGGTTGCCGAGAGCTCACAGCTGCCCCTTCTGGAAGGGAGAAGGGAAGTTATGCCCTGTCCCTGGGAGCAGACCCCCTGCTGCCGACACACTCCTAGGTGGGTCTAGGAGTGGCCCTGGGATGTTATTCATGCTGAGCTCCCTGTGGGGTCTTTGCCTAGCTTCCTCCCAGTCCCACCCTCCTCCCTCACTGCTTTGCAGGCTACTCTGGAGATCCTCCCTCAGTGAATCACTTGCACAAGAATCCCCAAATCAGGCTTTGCTTCTAGGCAACTTGACCTAGGACAAAACCTAACACAGGTGAGATCAATGGAAACTAGTGATTTCAAATCAGATGTCTGCAAGCATATAGGAGGGAAGGCAGAGAATGAATGGCTTATACAAGGTAAACCATTGTCATACAATCCCGGCCACTCTGATAAAGGCCTGGTCATGATGGGTCACAACAAGGTCCAGCCTCAGGGCGGGAAGCACGATGAGTCCAGCCAGGCACGTGGGACCTTGGCCAGGTAGGTCCTTTTATGAGCCTTGTTTTCTCGATCTGAAAATGGTAAATAATAATACCTCTACCACTAGGTAGTAATTGATGCAGACAAACATTGAGAACAGGGGCCAGGGCTGGGAGCGGTGATTCATGTCTATAATCCTTGCACTCTGGTAGGCTGAGGTGGGAGACTTGCTTAAGCTCGGGAGTTCAAGACCAGCCTAAGCAAGAGTGAGACCTACCTCTACCAAAAATGGAAAAATTAGCCAAGTGTTGTGTCAGGAGCCTGTAGTCCCAGCTACTCAGGAGACTGAGGCAAGAGGATCTCTTGAGTGTAGGAGTTTGTGGCTCGGCTGAGGCCACAGCACTCCAGTCCGAGCAACAGAGAGAGACTCTCTCAAAAAAGAGAGTAGGTGCTGAAAGAACTGCTGGGAAACTGGATATTCACAGTCCTAGAATGTTACCCCACAGAGTACTTAGTGACTTACAAACATGAAGAGACACCCTGACAATGAGAGAACCTGGAAGACACCACGTTAGCCAAGTGATGCGCCTTAACCCTCTAAAAACAAGTCAGCTGACCCTGGGCAGCACGAGGACGAAGCTCGAGAGGGACCCCACCTCACCCACGGAGTCTCTCCTGAATCTGCACAGAAGAAAACAATCAGACAGACCCAATTCAGACAGTTTCTGCAAAACTAGTAGCCTCAACATGTCAATATCATAAAGGCTGTAGAATTATCATTGACTCAAGAATAGTAAAGAGAAATGATGACTACATTGAGTGCACGGACTTGCTCTTATATGACATCAGAATAAAAACTATAAAGGACAATATTGTATTAACATTTAATTTCCTGAATGAGATAATGTCACTATTCTTATGTAGGAAAATGCTCTTATTCTTAGGAGATGCTTACTGAAGAATATAGGGGAGAAGTGTGGAAATGTTGGAGTGTCAAATGCTTGGCCCCAAACAGTAAGAAAAAACAGAGATAAAGCAAATGTAAAACAATTAAGTGAACTCTTGCAACTTTTCCATAATGTTTGAAATTTCTCAAAATAATAGGTTGGAAAAAAGTAATAATATCTACCATATCACTGGACTTTTATGACATTGATTTATTCAACTGTTATTGATGTCTACATGTCCAGGCCCATTATCATGGAGAGACACAGATTCAGTGAGACCTACAAGCAAAAATACTGAGCAAACCACAGAACGCCCCCCACGTGTAAGGTGCCTCTAGGGGCAAAGAGCAAACTCCCACCAGAAAACTCACATCCTACACCCGTCCCCACTTCCCCCAAAGCCAGGGCTCA